TAAATAAAAATTACGATAAGCCTGAAATAGAAATATCTATACCATAACATGCAAGATGGGTCTATTTTTAGTTTGTAGCCGAATGTTGTTATAGCATTAATTTTATTTCTTAACTTTTCTTAAATAGTTTTATTTACATCTCACATGTTTTAACTTTAAAAGTGTGAATTTTATTAGAGCCTATATTTGAAAATGCACGTAGATACATAAATCTTGCTTTAAATTATTATAAAATGGTAATTAGTATATACATTATTTGATTTTATAAGAAATAAAGAACATAAAATTATGCTTTGTTATTAAAAGAAAATTGATTTTCTGCGCATAATGGGTGGAGGTTTTCAATGTCAATAATTTGTTTTCTTACTACCTCGACTCAAAATACGTTGTTTCGTCCCCGATTTCACGGCAGAAAGTTTACGTTTCTTGCATTGGTCAAGCTATACGCGCACACTCTAATAGCGGGAGTAAAAATTTTTTAGTCGTGTGCTTAACATTCAAATTTCGTACTGCCAACATGAGAAACACAAAAATATGACAGTTTTAAACCATAATTTTGCATTTATAACAACAAATAAACAATTTATGTTTTTACTTTTTTACTTTTTATGTTGTTTTAAGTGTTTAATGGTACTTTTATTTGTTATAAAGTAGTAATTTGTTAATTAAAATACAACCTTTTATTTTTACTGTATTGGCACCGCTGAATTACCATGACAACGCTACAGTTTGATTGATTTTGAATTTAAACGTCAGAATTAAATTAAACGTCAGATTTTAATTTTGACACAAGTTTTTTTATATACATTTAATTTTTTTCCGTATTTTCTGCGGGGTAGCAAGAAAAATAGTATACACTACACGGGCAGAAAGTGTGAGAGCCCTGAACTGCGCGCCATGATGCCCTCGGCTTCGCCTCGGGCATCATGGCGCGCAGTGCAGGAATCTCACACTTTCTGCCCTTGTAGTGTAATATACTATATTATGATAATTGCAGCTGATAGTAAACAATTATTTGTACATGTAAATACCGTTAAAATTCCGTTTTTACATGATATGACAAAGTAAGGCTGCACAAAAATCGATATTACTAATAAATTAATTGTTATTTCATTTTACACCATTGGCATCTCATTAATACTAAGAGATACAAAGTTGGGTTGGGTACAAAAAAGTTTCGCTATTTAATGACAATGTCAAGAAATCTAGGATACCTTTGACCGATTCTGAAATATCCTGAAAAAACTGAAAAAGTTCTTTATAACTTTTTAACTATTGCAACTATCAATTTGAAACTTTTTGACATCTGTTACACGATACACAAAAACCGGTATGCTGGTTATGAAACGAAAACTCGTTGACTCCGCGCATGTGACGTCACGTGCGAACCAGTTTTTTTCCGAAATGATTGTGTTTTTTAAAGTATAAGCCACGCATCATGGTTTTGCAACGTTTTTCGTAAGGTTTTTACTGCATTTATTGAACAGCAATAACTATTTACAAGGTATTTATAAGCCACGCACGGGTGTTTTATACCAGGTCATTTAAGTTTGTGTTATATTTGTTGAACCTAATAACTATTTAAAATATGCCGGGCTGTGCTATAGCAGACAGCAGAAATATGAACCGAAACTCCAACCTAACCTAACATTAAATATTTTCGATTTCCAAAAAATAAAGATCTGGCAGCTCAGTGGATGAATGCATGCAAGAGAAAGAATAAAATGAAAGTAAAGGCAATTTTTGGTATACCCAATTTTCCATTAGAAAGGTACTTAAAGTAACTTTTCACCCTAACCACATATTTTTTTACAGCTTGCATAAGTTCTTACTAAATATAAAAATTAAAACTCAATTTTAACGGAAACCCGCTTCAAAAGTGTCACAAGTAAAATAAGCAGTTTTAAGATTTTTTTTTACTTTTGACATTTTAAAGCGGGCGTGCGTTATTATTACCTGTATAAATACATTTTTATAATTTTGTTACCTTTCACATTAAAAAAATGTAAAATTTTCTCTAGCGTAAGTTAAGTAAGTTAAATTTATTTAATTAAATAAAAAATATTTTGAAAAATAATAATAGGAAGGTACACAGAGAAAAAGCTTTTATATTGTGAATGGGTTAGCCATTGAGCCAATGGTGTACTGTATTTGCAATATCTGAATTGCAGCTATGATGAAATGAATGATTGTCTTACTTTTATTTGTGCAAACCTGCTTAAAATTAGTTTAAACTTGAGGAGTCATGGAATTAAATTGTGATTTTATTAAATTCGTATAAAAACTAAGAAAAAAAACATAGGAAATTATTGAATTAAATTGTTATTTAATTGAAGCCACAATAAATCTTAATGAAAAACTATCATTGGCGTAAATAAAGTTATGGTTTCTAATGAATGGCTACATTAAATGCAATCAAAGCTCTATTTCCTTTAAATATGTATATTCTTGTGCAAATATTAGTTGTATAATACATTAATATAAACTTTAAATAAAATGAATTCTGGTAGTTTTGTGTACACAGGTTTTTCGATTCATAAAATGAAATTGTTCTGTTTTCTGTAGGAACTATAGTTAATATATTAATAACCCACTAGAAGTGTTGATGATATTAGGCTCTAAGAAAGTTGCTGACCCATCACTAGCAACAGTTACTGTACTGGATGTGCAGGATCTGTCTGCCATGGCACATGGTTATTCTAAAACGAAATAGTAATTTCATGTTATGCTTTTAGAGGCGAATCCTAAAGATTGCTGAAATTCCTAAAGCAATATACATTCAGGACGCCCTGCAAGTATATCATGATGGTACTAAAAGACTATAAGAAGTTTGTATTTAAATAAATAAAAACTTCGTCCATTTAAGCGAAATAGCACCGAATATAAAGATAAACTGTGTCCATGGTATATACCTATATGAGTAAACATTTACCTTTTTGTTAACAATTACTCTCTTAAAATGAATTAGTCAAAAATAACTAATTATAAGTCATATTTGACTAATTGTCATAGCGAAAAAGCAGTCACTAATAATTAGTCAAATTCCACTGAATGAAATAGTCAAATTAGTAAATTTAAATTTAAAAAAAGTTTTGACCCAGCCTGGGATTGAACTCAGGTCTGTCACTTGACAAGTTTGTCAAGCTACCCCATCAAAATCAAAATCAAAATCAATATATTTCTAAATTAAATAATTACAGATCATAAAAAAGGTAAATAGTAAAGGCCGCAATGTGGTGATGTGGTTGGCTGTAAAGAGGCGCGTGGAAGTGTGGTTCCACCTCTTGAGCCTCCCTGCGGTGAAGATGCGTGGTACGGGTGGTAGCAGCGCAGTCTTCCGACGGTCTTTGTCCCTTGTACTAAACCCATAACGCATTCGGCTGTCAGCCGCTCTTATAAAATTCAATTTTATTTGTCAATAAATATTATTTATAATATTTTAAAGTTTAATATATTATTTGTGTTTCTGTTTTGAGCTAAACTTTTTGCATCTTTATTTGTTTTATGGGTCATTTAACCATGGAGAGGTATATGCATTTAATTCAAATAATACTTTGTTGTTGACCGTAAACGATTAAAGAAATTAGTTAATTTTAACTGTCAGAAATAGTCAAATATGGTGACTAATCTTAAATTAGTCAAACTTTAACTATTTACATAGTAAAAAATAACTATTAAAGTGAAAACGACTATTTTATTACTAAAAAATGCTGGTACTAATTCAAATAGTAGAATTTTGACTATTTCATTTTTAGAGAGTAGATATAATTGACATACAATTAAAAATATGTACAACTTACCTTGAAAATTCAGTACAACCCCCAAGAAATTAGCAAATATAACAAACAACCAAACACTACCTACACCAGAGATAACCCATACACATCAATCGGCGTCACCAGAAATACCGATTAATCAGTTGATCACATTGCAGGTTGCCCATGTGTGGTGTGGCAGGGGATGCACTAGCGCGTTTGTCTGAATTTTATCAATCATTAAATAGAATATAGGCCGCATTGAAAAAATGGGAATGATAATTGGGCAAATAACAAGTATTTTTCAAGACAGTGAAAACATTGGTATTCACTGTAAGACAGAAAAAAACTTACTTTACCTTAGTTTCCATTGGAATAAAAATCATAAACATTAAAAGAAACAAAGAATATTCTTATTTCATTGGTTTTTAATTTTTGGTTGAAGCATTATAACTTTTAATATAAATTAATTTTATATTTAATTAAATATTGTTAATTTTACCTTGATCAGATAAACTTTGAATTCAATCATTTCTAAATTTTTTTAAGGAACTACACATTTCCATTACGTTTAAATCTAAAGAGCCATTCACTCTATAACAAGTAATTTTAACTTGATAATATTTTGTTATGGGCTGAATATAATATTTGTAATAACATCAATCTTTTACCCTCAATTGCTCCAAACATATTTGATTGAATAAACTTTAACTTTTATTGGAGAAATGAAAAAACAATCAATTGTAGCATTGTTATTAACTATATTAAAGCGTTTTTTCTGTATAGGAAATTAATTGTTGCTTAAAATATGTTACATTAGTATTAAAAGCGCTTGCTGCCAATTTAACTTTCTCGTAACATTTGATACACTTAATATTTTCAACCATGCCGTCCCTATTTTTATAAATTTTCGAATATAACATGAATTTGCAGTTCAAATAACATTCCAACCCAGTTACCCGCCAGCTTTTGGTTCGCACATGACGTCACACGGTGCGAGAGAGATAGCTATAACATGCGTATTAGCATATCGGTTTTTGTGTATCGTGCATTCAACAAAGAGTTCAAGCATTTTAATTATAAAATTTAATTTTATACTTATTTAAACTTAATTGCTTAAGCAGCTCGTTGCCAAAACTATAGCTTATAAGCACCGGTTTTCAAATCGCGTGCTTAAACTGAGTTTTGTAGTGCATGCAATGCTTAATAGCAACGAGTTGTTTGTAAACCGAATGAATTTTACAGAAATGCCCGATTTCGGAATGTTGTCCAGCAAAACGGTCACGGAGGTGCTCATGCTGGAAATGAGGATGGCACCCAATGCAAAAACTTATCTTGTATCCGGTTATCCGAGGAACATGAGGGACGTTGTGGAGTATTCGGAAAAGGTAACAATTTATATTTACCTATTTATTTTCATAGAAATTAGTTTTAAGTTAGTTGTTAGTTGTCACTGCAGTGGCAGCTAGTCAGGGTAGGCCTCTAGTTGGTGTTTTTATATCACAAGACTGAAGATGTGTTGGGTTGCAGTTCGTGTTGCAGTATTTGTGTTGTGATTCAGATTAAATTATTTAAAACTATTGTTTGATATTTTATGGTTTTTGTCTCGATTAGTAAAATATATTATTTTATTATTTGGTTACATACACGCTAAATAGGTACACTGAAAAAAATATTCTCTTGAAAGAAATGAAAATCACTTTGATTCAAAAGTTTTGCGCTTTTGAATAGGGCCCAGAGCTATATTTCTTAATCAAAATCAGAAACTATCTTTACATAATTTTTTTTAAATTACTTGATGGAAGAGATTAATCTATTCGTTTAAGGATATTACAATATTAGCTTAAATAAAGAGCAAGCGATTTCTTGGTACAAAAACCAAAAATATTTCTTCGGAAGATATTTCTATTTTGAATGAAGAAAACGTTTTTAGCGCAAAAAATGGGATTTTAACAAGAAAACTGCATCTCTTAATTGAAAAGCTTAGGAACTTTCTAATAAAGAAAATTTGTCTTGCTACAAAAGCATGCATATGCAGCATATGCATATACTATTGACCTAACCACATTTTATTTTGATTTTAGAGCAAATATCTCTTAAAATCCCCTCACCACATAGGCCTTTTTGATTTTAATTATTAAAACATTAATTTAACAATTAAAATCAAGGACCTTCGTAGTGAGGGAAGTTCAAGCCTAAAAATTGGCATCGTTGAAAACTTGAATATTGACTAAAAAAAGGTTTACAAAAAAAATATTTAAATAAAATAAGACATTTATTGATTGATATAGGTAAACAAAAGCGCAAGATTTTTTATACTTACTAACACCAATAAACTAACATAAATATGATTTAACATAACATTTTTATAACATATTTTAATTAATACCTTACCTTTAAAAACATTAAACAAATTAATTAAATTTCATTTATTTAAAAAGAGTTCCAACTTCACTATGAAAGTACATACAACACGCCACAACACAACACAACCTGGCTAAATGTATATTAGAAATACCTATAATAGAATTATAATATTATATCACTGCCCCTAGAAAATGACGAATTGCAAGTTGCAATGATACTCTTTTATGCTAAAATATTTATTCTTGCCGCTAATAATTTTTTATCAATAGAGTTGACTACTTTAGTTTAAGGGCACCTTTTTTTTCAGTGTATAATTAGCAGTTTTTAATTAAAGTTAGGTTTTTAAAATACCATTAGTTTTCGTTAGTTAAATATTTCTGTTTTGTTTTAAATGAATCGTGGAAATTTATTCGCATTTAGACAAAATTACAAATCATTTTTAAAATATTATAAGTATTTGTCTTAGAAAAAGTATAAAAAGGAACTCGTTTATAAACTTTTCTAGGCACTCATTTAATTAAGCTCGTGACTAAAATGGCGTTTATCAAACTTGATACAAAATATACTATTAAATGGATAAAAGTTAATTATTTCATTTATAATTTAATGAGGCTATGACAAAATCGATTTAATTACCGCAATTATCACTTTGATTCAAAAGTTTTGCGCTTTTGAATAGGGCCCAGAGCTATATTTCTTAATCAAAATCAGAAACTATCTTTACATAATTTTTTTTAAATTACTTGATGGAAGAGATTAATCTATTCGTTTAAGGATATTACAATATTAGCTTAAATAAAGAGCAAGCGATTTCTTGGTACAAAAACCAAAAATATTTCTTCGGAAGATATTTCTATTTTGAATGAAGAAAACGTTTTTAGCGCAAAAAATGGGATTTTAACAAGAAAACTGCATCTCTTAATTGAAAAGCTTAGGAACTTTCTAATAAAGAAAATTTGTCTTGCTACAAAAGCATATAGGGTCAGAATTTCTCAAACGGGCCACCTGAATTAGGTCAAAATTAGTTTTTGATTATAGATACATTTTTTCGATAGTATTTTACATCACTAACACAAATCCTAAAGGATTTTGTAAAAAAAAAAATTTTCAATTGGCATATTCATGATATTAAAAGTAAAAGTTTTTAGTAATTAAAAAATAAAAAAAAATCATTATGGCTAAACTAATTATCCGATTCCAACGATTTAACTAGCGTTGGAATCTTGTTTTGACATAGATTCTTTGTTATTTTTTTCAATTGTACAATTTTCATTTAGGTCGATTTTTTTTTGTTTTTTTATAACAAATTCGGAAATAATTGGCTTCTGCGCCAGCTATCGACTCGATAAAAAAAACACATATACTCCAATCATTTTTCGAAATTATGCTGCTGAGAAAAAAAATGGCCCGCAGGTTCCAGACCACCGTAAGACGTCGCGTCACAAGCGCGTACAGCGTACACGGTTCGGAGCGTGAGCTGACACCGCGCGCGGCCACAAAAGGACGAATAACTTTTTGTCAACCTGCGGGCCATTTTTTTTCTCAGCAGCATAATTTCGAGAAATGATTGGAGTATATGTGTTTTTTTTCTCGAGTCGATAGCTGGCGCAGAAGGCAATTATTTCCGAATTTGGTATAAAAAAAACAAAAAAAAATCGACCTAAATGAAAATAGGACAATTGAAAAAAATAACAAAGAATCTATGTCAAAACAAGATTCCAACGCTAGTTATATCGTTGGAATCGGATAATTAGTTCAGCCATAATGAATTTTTTTATTTTTTAATTATTAAAAACTTTGACTTTTAATATCATGAATATGTCAATTGAAAATTTTTTTTTTACAAAATCCTTTAGGATTTGTGTTAGTGATGTAAAATACTATCAAAAAAATGTATCTACAAACAAAAACTAATTTTGACCTAATTCAGGTGGCCCGTTTGAGAAATTCTGACCCTATACTATTGACCTAACCACATTTTATTTTGATTTTAGAGCAAATATCTCTTAAAATCCCCTCACCACATAGGCCTTTTTGATTTTAATTATTAAAACATTAATTTAACAATTAAAATCAAGGACCTTCGTAGTGAGGGAAGTTCAAGCCTAAAAATTGGCATCGTTGAAAACTTGAATATTGACTAAAAAAAGGTTTACAAAAAAAATATTTAAATAAAATAAGACATTTATTGATTGATATAGGTAAACAAAAGCGCAAGATTTTTTATACTTACTAACACCAATAAACTAACATAAATATGATTTAACATAACATTTTTATAACATATTTTAATTAATACCTTACCTTTAAAAACATTAAACAAATTAATTAAATTTCATTTATTTAAAAAGAGTTCCAACTTCACTATGAAAGTACATACAACACGCCACAACACAACACAACCTGGCTAAATGTATATTAGAAATACCTATAATAGAATTATAATATTATATCACTGCCCCTAGAAAATGACGAATTGCAAGTTGCAATGATACTCTTTTATGCTAAAATATTTATTCTTGCCGCTAATAATTTTTTATCAATAGAGTTGACTACTTTAGTTTAAGGGCACCTTTTTTTTCAGTGTATAATTAGCAGTTTTTAATTAAAGTTAGGTTTTTAAAATACCATTAGTTTTCGTTAGTTAAATATTTCTGTTTTGTTTTAAATGAATCGTGGAAATTTATTCGCATTTAGACAAAATTACAAATCATTTTTAAAATATTATAAGTATTTGTCTTAGAAAAAGTATAAAAAGGAACTCGTTTATAAACTTTTCTAGGCACTCATTTAATTAAGCTCGTGACTAAAATGGCGTTTATCAAACTTGATACAAAATATACTATTAAATGGATAAAAGTTAATTATTTTATTTATAATTTAATGAGGCTATGACAAAATCGATTTAATTACCGCAATTATAAAGAAATTTTAATCAATATTTGCAAGGTGACATCTGATATAAAAGGACGTATATTTCTCATACTTTTCTCCAAGTGATTAATATTTCAAAGTGAATCGTTAAATAGGATTGAATATTTAATGTGAATAAATTGTTTCATTATAGATTCAAATGGTGAACGGTGTGATATTAATATCCTGGAGACAAAAGGTTTTGGAACGACAGATAGATTATGGTGCCAAATTAGGACAAGTGGTTCTTTCCCTGGCCAGGATGGAACTCAATAATTTTTATAAAAATGTTATGCCTGTTGCGGAGTACTTCGACCAAAGCAATATGCTCATATCGGTATGTACCTATGAGAAAACCAATATATTTTTTTATTTTTAACATTATGCATATTTTATGTCTGAAAGAGTTGTATTTGGGTGATTCCATCGTTTCGGGCGTTACATTTGTTCAACCAAAGTAAAAATTTATGTATATGTACATACATTTATGTATTTTGAATATTTTAGCAATTAAAGTGCCTTATTCTCTACGTTTTTAGTTGTTTTATATAAATTGTAAAATAAGTACAGTTTAGCATATAGGAGAACGATTTCATGATTCTAGATAAGATAAGATAAGATAATTTATTAGTAATAACATACAGAATAGTATTTTTACAGGTCCTGACCATTGTTACATTTATTTGAAATTCAGCGAATTTTCTTAGGGAAACATTCTTGAAAATTACAGGCCTCCAAAAGTATAATATTTACTAACCATCTACCACATAATCACTGTCACACAAATAACGTTTTAATATTTTTTTTTAAATTTTACTTTGTTTCGGGTGTTACGTTACCATGGTTCTGTTTGGGGTGTTACAAGTACAAAAATTAAACACTTTAAATGGACCAAATCGGTGTTTTATTAGTATCTTAGTACTACAAAATTAGTAAGTAATAAACAAACATAAATAGAATGAATTATCCTTTAACAATAGGATACGTCCGTAAATCGGGTAAAATCGTTATTATTGCCAAAAATCGGTAAAAAAAAATCGACAACACCATCGGAAAAGCAGCACCTCTTTAAAAGATGTGTGACTGCTTTTCCGATGTGGGTCGTCGAAATAGCATTAAAAATAATACTTATTGCATTTTTCAAGCAATTCACACATATATCGACATATGAAAAAAGTTGTAACACTCGAAACGTTTCGGTTGTTACAGTTTTTAATCAAGAAGAAAATTGGACGCCTTTCTGCAGAAAGGAACCAACCCACATAACCAAAAAAATCGAGATATTTAGCCTATGAACTAATTAAGTATGTATAATTTATCTGCAAAATAGGTCATAGCCAAAATGCAAGTGTAGTGAAATCTATTAATCATTGAACCAACCAACATTCAATAATAGTGTGGATTACTAATCCAGAATATCTGCAAGTGGGTTGGATCTTTTTTGTAAAAAAGCAGGCTGGTAGACCCACTACCAAAGTCTTTAAAGATTTCCTGCTTCTGCAAAATATAAAGTCTTGATGCATTTTTTTGGTAGCTTACAAGATGAGGTGGGGTTGGAAGATGATGTGGACGAATTTCAAATAGAATCAAAATTAATTCATATTACCATTATAATAGTAATATCAGTTGTATTTTGTTTGGAAATAAATAATTGTCGCTTTTCTTTAAATACATACATACATCAGATAGTAGTTTTCATAAATTGTAGAAAGGAACCAACCAACAAAAGCCCATTTTTTTCGTCACCCTTACACATAACATAACATAACACAAAATCCACCTGATGAAATTATTAAATTATATCCCTTAAACCTCCGTCCAAAATCGGCATAAAATTAACAGTTAATTTTAAAATTATTAAAATCTTTGATAGCTTTTTTCTCATCATGGTGTGGGTTGGTCCCATTCTGCAGAAAGCCGTCCAATAAATCCTATAGTATTTTAAATCATTAACACCATAACCTTACTTTTACTAAATATTATTACACTAAACAATCTGTAAGGTATAATAATTAACAATTACCTGATTTTTCGTTTTGGGTGTTACAGCGTCAAAGTAACAAGAAAACACAAACTTACAATGTGATAATTATCAATTTTTTCGGAACTGTGACGCAATCCACCAATATATTGGTATACTACCATAAATAACCTTTAATCACAAAGTGGCAAAACCACAGACCTACAAGGTCTGTGGGCAAAACGGTTGACAGTTTGGCAGTTTTTTTTCGTATTTTCAATAGTTAGAAGCAAAATGGTCATATTGATCTTATACTGGTTTTATAATACTCTCGACATTGACTATTTTAAAACTAATTTACTTTAAAAAAAAAATAGCAAGTTGGTTTTAAAACAATCTATTTTGGAACAAATAGTTTTAATGTAGTTTTACGGAGTACCCTTGATGTACTTATTAAAACCCATCAAGAAAATTGTTTTATCTCCGGCCAATATGCTTAATAAAATTTAAATTTAAATCCAAAAACATAATTTTAAAGAGTACATTAAGATATTTGGATAACGCCTATCGAAAAGGAACCAAACCCCAAAAACTTTTTCTGGGCTTAGTAAAATTATTTGTAAAATAACTCATATTTAATAATGCTCAAAAGGTTAATCATCATTTGGAACTTTTCTCAAAAGGATTGAGAAGTTCCCAAATCATTATAAATTTTTTGAGCAGCATTAAAAATGAGTCAGTTTGGCGCTTGGTTATTTTTCGATAAACGCTATCTATTTAATAAAGAAAAGCTTTTAGATTTTTAGATAAAAAATAAAATTTGACGATATTTTTAAATAATTTTAAATACCTAAAAAAAAAACAATAAATTGAAGGCACTTGAGTTATTTGGAAGTATTTTATTATATATTGTAAAAAAGTGTAAAAATGGGCTCTTTTTGGCTATAAGCAGCTTTATGAAGATCATTTCGTTTTATTGCAGTTTTAAAGCGACTTTGGAAATCGCAATAAGAGCATTAGTGTTCCTTGGGTATTTTAATTCATTTAATTTTTATGAGACAACTAAAGTACTTATTAGTACTAACCTACTTAAAGAGATATTGACATTTTCTAAAAAATAAAGCTATTTGTTCTATAGAACCCTAAAGGCAGGTAAAAAACATAAAAACACATTCTTAGGGCCTATTAAAAATGATTATAATCAATAATACTTAATAGTTATTAATCATATGCCTATAGGCATTTTGTCGGACAAAATTTAATACCTAAAAAATTATTTCGTAAGTAAATATCATAAAAAACGTTAAAAATGACAATTGGTAGACATTTTTTTTATCTTTATTTATTGATTATGAACTGTAATCAAAACATGTTTTGAAAGTTGATAGTAATTTTATGAATAATAAAAATGTAGAAACATTGATTTTGTTATACTTCCCATTGGGATAGTGTCAGACTAAGACCGTTTTAAACCTTTTAGTTTTGAAAAGGCGTATGAATTTTTTTTATTAATATAATAATAATATCAATTTATTAATTTAAAATGATAATGAATTAAAACAATAATTTAAAATTTAATTTAATTTGACCATATAAATAAAAAACCAGTCTTTCAAAACTTTTTGGTAGTATAATCATTGAGTAAAGAACTTCTTTACTCAATGGTATAATAATAAAAATATTTAAAATTGCCTGTAGACTATAAAAAAATCTGCAATTGGTGGGCAAAATTCTACTTTGCCCACGGGCTTTACGTTGAAATTGGAAAAAAATGAGTTTAAAATTCATTTTCTTTTATTTGGACACGTTGGTAGCATATGCCAGTTTGATTTAGAATTTAAAAAATGGTACTTCTGCTGAAGACCTTAATTAAATAAATAATAAATAGCCAGATCAAAAAATTTTGAAATTTAAAAAAATATGGGAGAAATAAAAAAATAAACAATAAAAATTATTTGCTGTTTGCCTTTTTGTGAAAAATCTAGTAGTTAATTTTCCTTTCTTAAAAAATGGTTTGAAAAAGATAAGCAATAATTACGAAACTTTATCTTCTTTCAATTTGCATGTTACTGATCATTAATAGTCCTGGACAATATATACTTTATAATTATTATTAAGCCACTACAAGTATTAACGTCCGTGGCTTTAACAAAATACCCATTCACCATTGGAGTCCAATGATTGGACAACATTTGCGTGTGTTCACATGAAATTTTAATTTATTTTTTATAAATTCTTTTCAAAGCGAAGATTATTATCCGCTAAGAATACTTTTCTCATTTACGCACCACAAGAGCCAAATTAATTGCATTTTTAACTAATTTTTAACAATTACATTTATACTACTTAAGTAGTTTAGTTTGTTTTTATCAATGCAACCAATTTTGGCTCTGTATTTACCAACCAAACCCCTAAATTTGCAACGTTACCGCACTCCAGATAAAAAAATGAACTTTATACTTTTGATCTACATGGTGTCCGGGAAAAGGAAGTCACTCCGTTAACCATATATTCTTTGAGTTAAAACAATAAGACTTTCTGTAGTGCATTGCTAAGCAGAATTAACTTCCATGTACCTATACGGCATACTAGACAATACAGTTTATTCTATATAAAAACCCATAATACCAACTACGGGCAATCCATGCCTATTGATAGAGTGTGTGCAGTGGCGAATAAGTATGTTGTGGATCTCTTCTGTAACTCTCTAACCAAGTTTAAAAGTAATGTCAACAATTTATTTAGTAGTAATTATATGTAATTTTTGTAATTAAAATTGAACCCATATTTTGTAATGGTTTAACCGTAAATAAAGATATTATTATTATTATTATTAATACCATTTTTCAATTTAGAGCTTCATGTTCGATATACAGGGCGACAAAGTTTAAAATTTAAAACTGATTTTTTTTAATAATTTGAGTAATTGATAAGATATTAAGTTCAAATTCAGTACACTACTTCAACATAAATAGTTACATTTTTTGAGACCAACAAAACAAAAAAGAATTGTCAAATAATCAAAATAGGGGGGGTCCAGTACTCACTGACTCCCCCTATTTTTTAGTACGTGCGCCAATGACTTCCAAACGGTATTTTTTCAGGTAATCATTTATTGTTAAAAAAAATTTGTCTCCTATAAAATTTTGATAAAATGATTTGTTTTAGAGATAATTTGTAAAGTATGGGTCAGTCCATATCAAATCAACCAAAGGTTCTTCCCCCACCATCTCCGATTTTGATAATTTTTGGTAAATTTGTTTACCTCACTAAATAACTCAAAAATCCCATATATGAATTTTTTTCGATGGGTGGTTTTTGTTTTATTGATTTTTGAAAATCAAAAAATTCCGATAAATTTTGGTTTTGCAAGTACTTACAAAAATAGCGATATCTCGTAAACTATTAAAAGTAGAAAGATGAGTGATGGCTTATTTTAAAGGCCTTTTAGTGACCTTTTTTATGATATATCACATGACCTAAATTTTTTCAAAAAAAAATTCAATTTCAAAAAATTGATATGGGTTGACCCATACTTTACAAATTATCTCTAAAACAAATCATTTTATCAAAATTTTATAGGAGACAAAAAATTTTCAACAATAAATGATTACCTGAAAAAATACCGTTTGGAAGTCATTGGCGCACGTACTAAAAAATAGGGGGAGTCAGTGAGTACTGGATCCCCCTATTTTGATTATTTGACAATTGTTTTTTGTTTTGTTGGTCTCAAAAAATGTAACTATTTATGTTGAAGTAGTGTACCGAATTTAAACTTAATATCTTATCAATTACTTGAATTATTAAAAAAAATCAGTTTTAAATTTCAAACTTTGTCGCCCTGTATATCGAACATGAAGCTCTAAATTAAAAAATGGTATTATGAAAGTCTTATTGTTTTAACTCAAAGAATATATGGTTAACGGATTGACCTCCTTTTCCCGGACACCCTGTATAATAAAAGACAACATTTTTTAAATATAGAATTTAGTTTTTCTTTTAAGTATAAAATTTTACCAATTATTGGAAGTTTTATTTCGAATAATTCTTCGTAGGAATCCCCAAAACAAAATTTTGATAATAATGAAGCTAAAATTTAAATTTCATTTTAAAATTTTCATCTAAAACCACGCCCAAATTATTTCTTAGTCGCCCAATTTTTGGGATAAAGCACCAACTTCTTGAACAAATTTTGAACAGTGATGAATTGAAGCCCTGCATCAAAATGGCTGCAGACAAGTTGGTTGGGTTCACTCAACGATATACTTTTTCTTTAGATAAATGGCGAAAGACCCCCTGGAGATGTATATAGAGACTTTAGATCGTCGGTGTTCAGGATACTCGGGATGCAGGACAATCCCCCTGTATTCGGTAACGGAACCAGCACCCCTGTACCTGATGATGTCACAACAGAACTTCCAAAAATGGTAAGTACAATTTTTTGTTTAAACAAAATACAACCTTGAGTCTTTTTGTGCTGAGCTCCCTAGCTACCCGATGGGTCTAAATTATTTTTACAATCTAGGAGGTTTTTTGATTGAAGAAGATAAAATAATAATGCCGCACTAATTTGTTACAATACTTGGAAACCCGTCAAGAAATAAAAATAAAAATCAATAAATATGTTAGGATAAGAATACAATAAAATTAATAAAACCAACTGTCTTATTATGTCCGATTCATTTAAAATTCTACAGTGTCGCGACCTAAATTTAATAGTTTACGCTGAAACCTAATTCAATATTTATAACAATAGATTTTACGGTTTGTCATGTTGAATTGTGAAAATGTATATTATAATTGTGAAATGAACTAGAATTATTAATATGATATTAAAAATGTATTTAAAGAAGCAATAATCTATATTTTTAGTATACATATAGAAAATATAAGAAACTATACAAGACTATCAGAATTTTACCGTCCAATTGTACTTATATATAAAAAAATAAAGGTACAAGGAAAGAGAATTAATTTTAGCGATTTATGCATAAAACATTACATATTAGACTGGTTTATTTATCTCCAAAAAAAACCTGTTATCAATATTACCCTTTTATACAATTTTTTGGAAAATAGGCATGGACTTTTGTCTGCAATCCAAACCGCTGCACTTAAGTACCAAGGTATTTAATAACACCCTGTATATAAACTGGCATTTTAGAAGTTTTAGTTTATAGTCCCGATACAAAAAGTACACCTCATAAACTAGACTGAGACACTCTTTAGTCTTTGCTATTTTTACCTATGATATTTTTACTTATAATATTTATTCTTTTAAGCCGTCTGTACAGGTGTCGTCACCAATTGTAAATACCCCCCCGAAAGCCGATAGGTTGGTGATTTCCCCTCCCAGACCAGCCACCCAAGTTATTTCAGTCAATCCGACTGTCAAAAACTACGTATCGCCGACCAAAGAGCACTATCCTCCAGTATTATGGGTGATAGGTAAGAAAAAAGATTTTTTGACATTTCCCTAAGTCATAACACATAAAAAACTCTCGATAGGCGGTCCAGGAAGTAATAAAGCAGCCCTATGCGCAGCAGCATCGAAAGACACGGGTTGGACGCACATCAGTCTGGGTAAGTTGATGCGGGCTGAGGCCGAAACTCCGGTGAGTCCGAGGCAAAACCCTGAAATACACAAGCTCAGGGACAGCATAAGCAATGGCGAAATGGTACCATTGGATATTGTGATGAAATACGTCGAAACCAACATGAACCAGAACGTGGAGGCCGAGGGAATCATTTTGGATGGTTTTCCGAGGGACATGACGCAAACCACGGAGTTTGAGTCAAAGGTAAAGCAAATGGTGAATATGACAGGTCAAAAAGATACATTAAATGTATACTAAACATAAACATATGACATGTTTCTACTTAAAAAAACAATAGAGACAATCTTTTCCTTAAATTCTTCTATGGTGTAACAGCATGCAGACTGCAAAAAAGATATCATGATTTTTTTAAATTCATTAAAGGGTTTTTCTCTTAGACCATTTGGAAATTTGTTATAGAGGCGGATTCCCACAAGTGGCATATTTTGCATGCCAATGCATCTCAATGGGGATTTTATCTTTAGATCTGGTGGTGCATTGACACTTATTTTTATCTATTAGTTCTATTTTGTTATTATGTACCAGACAAAGAAGTTTGTATATAGACACTAACAATAGATAAAATTCAATAATTTTTAAAATAACATCTACAAGAATCAATTTTTCCGATTAAAAATAACCCTAAGAGCATATATTTGCAAGATAAAAATTCTATTACTATTTCTAGCAAGACTTTATAATTGAAAGATGGATTTTTTTTAGTTTCGTAGCTATAAAATCAATGTGTTCATCCCATGTAAAAGATTTATCTTTTATCATTCCTTGATTCGATTCGAAAAATTAAAAAATTGATTAATGATTTGAATTTCTTAAGATTACCATAGGAGAATCGGATCTACACAGTTTTTTTGACATTAATTATAATTATATTATAATAATAGATTAATAATTATTAATCTATTTTTAAAACACCAGTTTCCAAACTCAGTTATTCCAGTTTGAATTAAATTAACAATTTCACTTTCGGTCTTGCTATACACCAATAGTTACATTATTAACATACACAAACAGTTTTTCCACACTGATGTATTTGGGGAAATCATTAATAAACAATATAAATAACAAGGGACCCAGAGTACAACCCTGAGGTGTTCCAATGTGCGTATTATAAATCTTTGCATTTTCCTCATTAACCTTAATATTTGGTATTTTATATAGGGTCATGAAACTGGGGTGACCTTTATAAAGTGTAATTTAGAACTTCTTGACATATTTAAAATATTTTTTTCACTTCTGGTTTCACCGGAAATGTTCTTAAGTAAGTAAATTTAATAATTAAATATTTAAGAGTAAAATGTTAATTCTTAATATGCATGTTACTTTAAAAGATGTAAAAAGTATACGTAGGTTAAAATAATAAAAAGTAAGTATATATACCTAACAGTAATGAATTAAATGCATAACAAACTTATAAAAACGCGATTTCGAAGAAATGTAGAACACAAACAATTCCGAAAAGTTTTGGTCGGTTAACAGATATGAGTGACCCTGGTAAAAATGTCACATAGAGACCCTGTTCAAACCGATAGATTTTTGTATAGGATTGTATGGTGTTTCTATAGGGATATCCTTCCTTGATTTATTTGCTATCGGTCTCAATAGGGAAAATACAGATAAATAGAAACAGAAATTAGTTAGTTTTTCTCCTATAGGACCCCATAGCCCATTATGGCTGCTCTATAGGGATATCCCTATATATATATAGGAAGGATATATCCTTCCTTGAGTTATTTTCTATCAGTTTCAATAGGGAAAATGTAAAATTTATGGTGTGCCCTTTTCTATTGGGCCGTATCCGGAAAAAAACATGGACAAATGCACATATTAAGTCCGTTAACGCCCGATAGAATATTTTAAGCAGGGGAGGCAGTCGCGAAAATCTTTTTGACTGAGGCTCTATCAGGAAGGGAAATTAGTATTAAGCCCAAGAGGTCCAGAAACTTATGCGAATGTTTAGAAATGGCAAATTTTTGTTTGATTTTATATTTCGTTTTATTATTTATTGCCAGAGATTCCCTATGTATACATTGGCCACACTATGGGGCGGTTAGATATAATTTTTTATAATTGTTTCAAAATATTTAAATGATTTTATTTATTAGTTTTAAAACCAAAAAATGTTGAGCAATAATTATTACTTACACAACTTGGATTCTAACCACCTCAATTATTATTTTTATTTTATTTTATACAAAGTTTTAGCGTACCTATGTTTTTTTTCATAGTAAAATAAAATGTTAATATTCACTTACCAGCAAAACAAACTAATGAAATGTCAAACCTGATACTTCTTTTAAACAAAAAGGTTTCAAAGCCTTCTTAATTTATTTACTTCTGTACACACTTTAAAACCTAATAATCAATCAAATTTAGTTGAAGTTTGAAAGCGATATTATTAAAAACTGCATTAATATTGGGTAATTTCTTTTATGACTAAGGAACCACCCTATTTTATTAAAAAAATAGTTTTGGCATAAAGTATTTTTGTTAAATTTTTAAAATCTCCCAAAAACCAGCATTGCAAAAAAAGAATAAAATTGTATTTTTTCCAGACTACTTGCAAATTTTTTTATTACATTTTTATTTATATATCTAGACTCTAGATTCTAGAGTGCCTTGAATTATCTTTTCAGAAAAGCCGATTCAAGGCACTCTAGATATATTTATAAATAAAATGTAATAAAAAAATTTGACCTGTCAAAAATTGATAAATGCCATATGTAGGTAGGTATCTATTCAGAATTTTATTTTGAATCGAATTATGTAAAAATGCATAGGGTGTTTCATTAAAAAATTAAGACCATTTCCGGGGAAACCGGTGATAAAAATATGTTAAATATGTCAAAAAGTTCCAGTTTTATGACCCTACATAAAATACCAAAGTTTTGCGATGAACCACGAATTTACTAGAAAATGGCATTTTCATTAGAAAATAATAAGTAATTCCAAAACGACGAATTTAGCCAACTTGAGACTTTTGGTGAAAGTTGTTTGTATTATGAAGTAAAAAAATGTGGCAATGTCAAAATTTTTACCTCAATTTGTTGAGAAAGTTTAAAAAAACTACCCCCTTTTGCCTGGTGGATTTGAGATTGGAAGGCCCAAATATAATAAACGTTAATAAAGAGATATTCATAGCGAGCCAAATCAATAATTAACCAATTTATGAATGTAAAAGTTATAATGTAATTTCTAATAATTAGGGGTTAATTATTTAAGTCAAACTTTGAAATACGATATAATTACGGATTAGATGCTAAAAATGGTCAATTACTTTGTTAATGATATACCTACTTGGAAAAATAGGGATGTTGGAAAAATGCAAATTACACGTTTAAGTGTACGTTGATAAAAAATGTATTAAGTTTATACATCGATCCTTAAAATAACACTGCTTCATCTTTTCTAAAAGGATTTATTATTTACGTGTTTCTGTTTTGTGGATGTCAAGTTTATGTATTGATTACTAAGTTCTCATATTCATTTAAAACTAACACATTTACATATTCTGTTTTAGTTTAAACAAAAACCAACTATAATCCTACTGGACTGCTCCAAGTTGCAATTCGGACGTGGAAGACTAGATGACAGCGTTACTGCTTTCAGAAGAAGATTGGAAATTTTTAGGCAAGCGTCTCTTCCAATGCTCAAGGCTATGGATAATATTGGAAGATTAACAATAGTAAGCAAGGCACATATTTTCCTAATTTTAATTATACAGCATTCAACAGGAAATATTTCACATTTAGGTATGGTTTTATATTAGCAGCTTACGTGAATAATTTGCTGCTCTTATACTTTGTGGATGTTTTTCATCATAGTCATTGAATATTTTGTGATGAATAGAAATTTGGTATAGGTAATTCAAGGTGATGAATACTTCTCAATGGATTAAGTTTCTCAATACTTCCCTGAAGTATTTGCAGTCAAAGTTGTGATTTCTTCACCTGAGTCAAGCGTTCAAATCTTGTGCTGATGAATGTTATTCATTCTGCCTTAAGTGTAGGTATTTGGGTTATGTAAAAATAAATATTGTATACTCTCTACTTTAGTCGAGGATTCAAATTCGAATATTAAGTGGAAGAGAACGTTTTAATATAGATAGTAATTAATAAACATAGAAAAAACGACACGAGAAGGAAATTACGTCATATACGATGTAGGCCCTGTTTTTGTATAATAATTTTTCCGAAAATATTGTGATGAAATGCCTTAAATTTCAAATGAGTCGGGGATGCAAATTCAAAGATTAATTGGAAAAGAACGTTTCAAATTTCAAGAGAGTAATTAATAAACCTAGAAAAAACGACACGAGACGGAAGTGACGTCATATACGGTGTGGATCCTGTTTTTTTATAATAATTAATTTTGTTAAAAATAAATGAATAATTGTCATGTGATCATAAGAAATGCAATAACCAGTGAAACAATAGACGTGATAATACATTCACTTTGCATTTTACAAAAAATACCAACTTTTTCTACAGATATTTATCACAAAAATATTATATTATTTGAATAACAATCGTTTTTTTAAGATATAGGTAGGTATTTAAAAAATGTTCGAACGAATTTTTCAATTTGTTTGAACTCTTGTAATACATACGAGGTGTGTTCAGAAAATAACGGGAATTGTTAAATTTCGCGGGTTTGGAGGGTCCGGTTGTCATAAAATTTTCTTTATTATGTTGATATACATGCCCCCAAAGTATGATAAAAACTAGCTGTTTTCATTGTTTACTTTGTCTGTGGCAGCCGCTAAGGTTAGACGTGTTTTATGAGCTCGGCGATTTTTCGTTCGTTAAAAGAAATGGATCAAAGAATTTGTATCCAGTTTTGCTTAAAAAATTAAATAAATTCTTTGAAATGTTAACAAAGGCCTATAGTGAGTCTGCTATAAGTAGAACAAGAGTTTACAAGTGGTATAAGAGTTTCCAAGATGGCCATGAAGACGTTGAAGATATCGAACGCCCCGAACGCACAAGCACATTAACAACCGATAAAAACATGGAAAAGGTGGAAGAAATGGTTATAAACCATCAGAGAAGTCGCTGATGATGTTGGTATATCGATTGGCTCATCCCATGAAATTTTTTCGTATGTTTTGGGTATGAAACGCGTGGCAACAAAATTTGTTCTAAAATTGTTAAATTTTGAACAACATTTTTGGCCAAAAACAATACTGTAATGATGCCCCAGCCTCCATATTCGCCAGACATGCCTCTGTCTGACTTTTTCCTATTCCCAAAAATAAAGAGAACCTTAAAGGTCCGTCGTTTTGCAAGCATAGATGACATTAAAAGCGCATCGCTGAAAGAACTAAAGGCTATCCCAAAGATCGAGTTTTAGAAGTGTTTCGAGTATTGGAAGAAGAGCTGGCACATGTGCATAATATCCAATGGGGACTATTTTTAAGGCGACAACATTAATGGAGACGAATAAATAAATATTTGTTTCAAAAAAAATTCCCGATATTTTCTGAACACACCTCGTATATTGTATACCTACAACGTAATACATATATTGTATACAATGATATATAAAATATATATTATATATTAATTCTTGTCAATCAATACCAAGCTAGCTTTCATTTTTATCAGCAAACTTTATAGCTCAGTTGAAAACGCGCTTCCTTATCATGCGAGAGTTACCGCGGGATCGATAACCGGCGCCTATTTTGTTTTTTTAAAACGAATGCTTTCCAGAAGCATTCACGTGCTCAATACTTTCAACAGGCATTTATTAATCACAACATTGACTAAAGTCTATACTTCTCACAAGGGTTCAAATCTTCAATTCACTGTAAAGTGCTTTGAATACAGTCAATATTTACTCGTTTGCAGTGCCACAAATAACAAAGTTCAACAGCAAAAAAAATGATGGGGTTCTGAAAGTAGTTTTCGTTTCTCCTATCCAAAGAATGCCCTTTTGCGTTTACAGAATGTTTAGATTGATTCAGGTTTTTTTTTAATATCGATTTTAAGTTTTATTAATTTTGGAAAACGAAAAACCGTTATTTATTACTTTAAACCAAAATCAAAAAAATGATGGGGTTTTGAAAGTAGTTTTCGCGTCTCCTATCCAAATAATGCCCTTTTGCCTTTACAGAATGTTTAGATTGGTTCAGGTTTTTTTTTAATATCGATTTTAAGTTTAATTAATTTTGGAACCCGAAAAACCGTTATTTATTAATTTAAACCAATTAACTGGGAGGAAATTGTTGTCATAACAATAAATTAAAAAGAAATAATAAAAAATAAAACAAAAATTAAAAATGGGTGTAAACATGTCACTAAAAGTACATTTGCTCCATGTACATCTTGACCTGTTCGAAAATCAGCTGTCCACCGAATCAGAAGAGCATCAAACAATAATGGAAATGGAAAATCGTTAAAGAGGAAAGAGGTTTGATTCGATGTTGGCAGATTTTTGTTGGTCTATGGCAATGGAAATTTTGCTATAAAATTATAAATAAAATTTGTTATATCTATTAAATCAAATCAAATTTTGTTAAAAAGAATATGTTTTTAATAATTAATATAATAATATTAATAATAATTACCATAATTATTATTATGGTAGAAGCGAAAGAACTAATAAATTGCACTACAACATATTAAATCCAGAAAAAGGTTCAATTTTGTTAAAAAAATTGCATTTTATTGTTCTCATTACTTTTTTATTTAATTAATTTTTTCTTTATTTGATTGTTATTACTTTATAAAACAATATAAAAAAACCAATAATTATCTTTTATGTACTAATTATTTATTATTTTACGATATTTCGGGATCCAAAATTACTAAAACTTTAAATTGATATTAAAAAAACAGAATCAATCTAACATTCTGTAAACGCTTTAATTCATGATTTTGATTGTAGAAACCGAAAATACTCAGAACCCCATCATCTTAATTTTTTTCAATTATAATTGAGGTATCTATCTGTCAGTTTAACGTTAATTTCGTCTTATTTTCTGAAAATAATACAAATTATGTTTATAAATTGTATTATTAAAAAAAAAAGACAGATAGATAACCTCAATTATTTGTATTCTAAGATATCAAGGTGAACTGAGAAGCCATGAAGGCTACACAAGGAGTCCGAAGTTACCTATTAAGGGAAATTAACAAAAACTGTTCACTAAATCTCACAAATTAGGTTTAAACTATTTTTATTTCATTATAGGTTTGGATTTATTAAATAAATTTTCTTTAAGAGCATACATTTTTTAAATTTAGGTAGACGGTGACACTGACACGGCCCCTGTACAAGAAGACTTCAGAAACGTCGTAAAACAACATATCGAGTATATAAAATCTAGTGCGTCGGAAACTGCCACCGCTCCAGTGGGAAACGGCAACGTTGCAAACGGGCACATACCGAACGGTAACGGTGTTTCAAACGGTAATGCGAACGGCTTCGCAAACGGCCACATTCCGAACGGACGAGCCGACGCGACGCTGGAAGATCTCGAGGACCCGGAACCGATCCACACCATCAGCAAGCACGTCGGCAACGGCGCAAGCAAGATGGCGAACGGTTACGGCAACGTCGCGAACGGGCACGGACCGGTTAAGGCTTCACAGGTGGCCAACGGGTACGCGGGCAATGACTTGCCGCAGTACGTGGAGCAGAGGAACAATTACAACCCGGTGAATTACATGGACGGGCACATTTAGGATTGACGTTTGTAATGATTTAACAAGTTAAAGTGATTCAGATATGTGATATATAAACTAACTAAGTATTATGTAGGCTAAATTACAGGTTAAATTTATCAAGGGGTGTTCCGGGTTAGATGGTCGATTTAAACACCATTCTTGGTATTTTTGTCTAAAAAATTTCAACAAAACTATTTTGCAGAAAGAACAAATTATAAAAGAAATTTAAAATTAATAATCATTTTTACATACAATTATTATATAGATTATTACAGGCCACTGTAAAATAAAGCAACAACATATAATATCAAAAGTTAATATTACTACAGTTAATTTTTTTTATTTGGACTCGTGTTTTTTTATTAAGTTGGTAGCTTATGCCAGTTTGATTTAGTATTTTTAGTATTTAAAAAATGGTACTTCTGCTGAAGACTCTGAAACTCTCAAATTGCCAGTAATATTTATTATTGATAATTTACTTAAACAATATCAGATTCTAAATTAAAAGAACCTTTAAGGGCAAAACTTTATTTCGATAAAGTTATGCCAAATGCCTTAATGGCACAAAAAGTAAATCGCCTTATGGACATTTTTGGAGTAAAAAAGTAACGTTTTTGGTTTTACAAATATTAAATCACACATTATTTTCAGCTAAGCAGATCAAAAATTTAAATTTAAAAAATAAGGGAAAAAAAAACAAAATAAAAAATTATTTGCTGTTAGGTTCAACCTTTTTGTGAAAAATCTAGTAGTTAATTTTCCTGTCTTTGAAAATAACATCCATTTGGTTTGAAAAAGATAAGCAATAATCACGAAACTTTTTCTTCTTTCAATTTACAAGTTACTGATCATTAATAGTCCTGGACAATAATATTATATACATTATAATTATTATTAAGCCAATATTAAGTATTACCGCCAGTGGCTTTAACAAAATACCCATTCACCATTGGAGTCCAATGATTGGACAACATTCACGTGTTTTAATATAAAATTTTAATTTCTTTTATATAAATTCTTTTCAAAGCGAAGATTTATTATCCACTAGGAATACTTTGTCTCTCCTGGTCCGTAGTCACCTATACTTAACTGCTTTTTTATATGATTTTACTCATCTACGCACCACCAAAGCCAAATTAATTGCATTTTTAAGTTAAAAATGCAATTAAAAATTTTAACTACGAATTTTGACAACTCAACTTGACTCAACTAGACAACCGTTCAATGCTTTATAATCTGTGGTTCAATGCAATACAATAATTTAAACATAACCACAATTACATTATAATTTATCGTATTTATTTAACTCCAAAATTTGCAATGTTGCCGCAGTCCAGATAAAAAAAAATTAACTTTATGACAAAATGTCGCAACAGAATTATATAATTTAATATTAAACGCTCAGATCTGCAGCCTTGGCAACAAACACTGAGCTCGGCTATAATATAAGCTCTATAACTGCGTGTTAGGTACCAGGTAAGGTACCTACTAGGTATTTCTTTTTTCATATTTTTAATATTTTTCTACAATAAATAGGCATCTAAACTTCTGATTTATTAAATTGTTAATATAAAAAAATGCAAAAAGCTTCTAGATTCTAGACTGGAATACCTGGATTTCTAGACTGGAATACCCCTAATATAGGTTAAGAATTGGAGTGCTCAAGATTATAAGATTGATATGGTTTGGTATCTACAGGGTGTCCACAAAATGGCGATAGGAAGTTAGTTATAAGTATATAACAAAAAGATTGGTACTTTTCAACTTATTCAAGTATTTGATTTTAAAAGTTGGCACACTGTGTGGTTTTTAAGCCCGGTCTACAATTGTCGCAGAATGTATCTTGTACGGCTTACGTCTTACGTCAACCAATCACAGTGCTTAGGTCCATTCGTTGACGTAAGACGTAAGCCGTAACAGATACATTCTGCTACAATTGTAGACCGAGCTTTATGGAAACAATTTAAATCTGTGTGTAAAAGGCATATTAAGTCAAAATTAAATTTTTCAGTATTTGCAATTTTTATTTTTGGAACGCCTGAAAAATAAATAAATAAAAACAACAAAAATAAAATACTAGAAAACTAGTCATCAGTAAAATGTTTTTAAAATAACCCCTGTCCTATCACCCTGTATAACCAAACATTGAATGATTTTAGTTAATTTTTGACGACATAACCTTCTCAAAATATTTCATCCAAGTTAATAATAGCTATTTTCGCGGAGCTAATCCCGAACTAATTCCGGACATCCTAGGCATGCGCTTTTTAAAATTTGGGGTTAAAAAAGTAAAGTGCGCATGACAAATATTAAAATGCGCATGCCTAGGATGTCCGAACTAGTTCGGGATTAGCACCGCGAAAACACCTAATATTAAAATCATTTTGTTCCGGGAATTTGTCTGTTTGATTTCGATGTTTTCTTCAGTTAAAGAATTTTCAACCACTTTTCGAGCTTTTTACTATAGTATACTGTAGTCTTCTTGACATAATATACTGTAGTCTTCTTTCCGCACAATAAATCGCTGGTTTGGTGCAAGACTATCCTAAGTCCATTTTCAAAGAATTGGAGAAAAATACTATTAAACATTTCTATGTATTGTAACTAAATTCTTGTTTGCGTCATTCTTGTAAAACCTTACAATTTTTAAAAGAATGACGCAAAAAAACAATTTAGTTACAATAGATAGAAATGTTTAATAGTACTAGAATTTGGTAAAAACACGTGTTTTTATCAAATTCTTTGAATATGGACTTAAGATAGTCTTGCACCAAACCAGCGAAATTTCGTTGGCTACACATAATTTCAATAAGGTATTTTTATTTTTTTTCCATAATAGAATCTAGTAAATCAACTATTTAACCGATTGTGCTTAAACTGTAATATAACAAAGGACAGTGGACAGGACCACCCTAAATAATAATAATATGTGACATACCTATTCCTTTTATTTAAATATCTTATTTTCAAACCAAAGATCTTTGTTTCAAACAACAAATTCCAAGTACATTTTTGACGGGATGGTATAAATAAAATAAATAAATTTAATTTGATATAGAGCGAGTTATTGTCGATGGTTAAAAAGGGTCCAACAGTATTTTTAGTAGTTCGTAATTTTTGTAGATAGACCTAGATAATTTATAAACCTAATTGTTTTGTTTAGATTACCGCTGGCCGGTATTAATGTAATCTAAGTGAATAAGTGTCAAGTTATATTTATATAAACCACTTAAAACACTACACTTCGCACTAATCTAAGAAAACTAAATATTTGTAATGACTATTTTAATAATAAAATTAAATTTATATAAAAAAGAAGCATTTTACATTCTAAAATAGTATTAATATTATTTAAGGTATCAAGATACACAGATTAAAAAAATAATAAAATAAAAAAAATTGCAGGCAATTTTAATGTTTCAAATAAAACGTTTGTTTCTATTAAATTGAGGTCCAAATTTTGACTGAAATATTTTTGTGTAGTAATTTAGTATAATTGTACCTGTATTTTTATAAATGCAAAAAAGATATGACACATTTCAGTATTTTGTTACCGATATCTATAGAAATACAAATTTTATACGGCAATTAGTTAAGCTACACTTTTCATTAATTGGTTAAAATTAATGTTGAATAAATACATTTATCATAAAATGAGTTTTATTTTGTATTTCCTGAAAAAGTAGGTAGGTAGAGGTGAAATATAATTAAGGAGTTTAATTAAGGACGACCGAAACTTGCGAGCGAGTGTTTAATAAAAATGAGTATACATATACGACGAACACAAACAGAATTTAAAGCCAATTTTATTTGCTACAAATTTGACATCTGTCAACTTTCACCCGAGCTTAACCTTTTATTTATATTAAAGCTAACTTCAGACCGTGACTAAAACGCCATAAAGTTACACCTCGTTAATGTAGAAGTAGATAAAATTAATCAATATTAAATAATAAATAAGCAAATGGGTGTAATTTTCTTATATACACAAAAAATATTCTTTAATTTTGGTTGTCAAGAAAATAATTACATTTTTAACCTAAGGAAATTTAAATAAATAAATAAATTAATTAATTAATGTTAATTCAAAACGGTTTTTTTTAAATAATCAAAGACAATTTTTATAAAAATATATTAACTTAAATTAACATTTTTGTAAATACAAACAAAATTGTTTCGGGCATTGTAGCCATTATTGTTGAGTGCTTTAACATAACCTTACACTCGGATCGATCGGTTTCAGTTTGCAGATGTCCTGCAGAGAAATACATCGCCTAAAATATGGATGTAAGTTTTTTTTAATAAAAAGTTAAAAATATCTTAGTACCTAGTGACAATGACTTAAATTTGCCACCTGTTCTAATCTAGATCGAGTCTGAAAGGTGCCAAGTTTTAAAATGGCCAGCCACTCTGAAAGGTCGTTCCTACTGACCTACATTGCAATTAGTAATTTTTAATAACATGGTGCTTTTGTTATTTAAAAATATTGTTACTTATTTTGTTTTATTTGTGACTCCCGTTTTAATACATTTTTTATAAACATTGCTACATTAGCAAGCCGTGTATTTAAAAAATTGATAGTTATAGTTATGCATGGGATGAGGTTTGCAAAATTATTAAATTATAATTATAGTTAGTTGGTAAGAATTGGAAAAATGTGAGGTTAAAACTGCCAAATGTATATAAATGTCAAATAAAATTGGCTTTATATTCTGAAAAACATAAAGAAAATAGTTTTAGAAGCTAAAAAAACAAAATTTACGAAATTCATTTAAATTTATATTTTTATTTATGTTTTGTTTACTCCTACGAATATTGGCTGAAATACCACACATTTCAAAAGTATTTTTAGTTGTTAAAAAGTTTTCAACGCGATTTTTGAGAATTTTGATGATTTTCAATATTCAAATTTTAACTGCTTTTTCAATTTTGTTGTTGGTTTATCCTAAAGAAAAGGTAACATTGTTTTTTTTGAATGCGCATAATTGTGATTGTAATACTTTACTTTATGTACTTTAATTATTAGATATTTAAATCATTTTCAAAAATATAAAAATAAAATGGTTAACCTCACTTTCTAGCAATTTTAAATATTATTATAGTAGCCTTTTCCTAATTGAAAACCCGATGGTGAATTCGACACGAAAAAAACCCTTGCCATTTTGAAATTCCATGGCAATTTTTTCATGGGTTCCCTGACTCAAAATAAAAATTCAATTTTAATTTTAGCACGGTTTGTCAATTGTTTTTGGAGATTTTTAAAATTTTCATGATTATAACGATTATGC